CAGCTTCATGGGCACCAGACTGGCTGTGTGCTTTCCCGGAGCTGGCCCACGGCGTGGGGAAGGAAGCCGAGCTCCACCGCAATCCTGTGTCCCAGGACGGAGCCGCGAGCTCACCGCTGCCCCGGCTCTGCGCACCTGCTTGGACCCGCCCCCAGTCAGACCAACAGTCCCGTCTCCGGTCCAATCCGCACCTCCATCATCTGCAGGCGGAGGAACCACGCCCACAGCCCAGCTGACAGAGCTCGCAGATCTGCTGGCGGAGCTTGGCCGGATCCGTCAGCTCGTCAGCCTCAAGGAGTCCCACCTGGACAACCTGTCATCCCCGAATCACCAGGAGAGGGTTTCAGTCCAGCCAGCAGCTCCCTCGTCTCAGAGCCAGAGGAGCAAGCCTGCAGTCCACCCAGCAGAGTTTGCCGGTCTCCGAGCTGAGCTGGCCCAACTCCATCAGATCCTCAGTCTCCAGGAGCTCCAACTGGACACTCTATCCTCCCTCCTCTCCCAGTTTCCAGCACCACCAGTTCAATCGCATCCAGTTCCAGCGGTGGTCCCGGAGGTTGCACCGCATCCAGTCCAGCCTGTCTAAGCGGTCCTGTCTGCAGCGGCTCCTCCTCCACCCCAGAAGCCGGCGGTCCAGAAGCCGGCGGTCCAGAGGCCGACAGTCCAGATGTCAACGCCCCCGGACCAGAAGTCGAGAGTCCAGAGGTCGAGAGTCCAGAAGTCGACGGACCAGAAGTCAATGCCTCCGGACCAGAAATCGACGCCCCCGGACCAGAAGTCGACGGTTCAGAAGCCGACGCCTCCGGACCAGGAATCGACGCCCCCGGACCAGACGTCGATGGAGGTTGACGCCTTGTCCAGTCCTGTGGCCGACGCCTTGTCCAGTCCTGTGGTCGACACTCTCTCCAGTCCTGTGGTCGACACTCTCTCCAGTCCTGTGGTCGACGCTCTCTCCAGTCCTGTGGTCGACACTCCTTCGTGTCCGGGGGTCGACGCTCCTTCGTGTCCGGGGGTCGACGCTCCTTCGTGTCCGGGGGTCGACGCTCCTTCGTGTCCGGGGGTCGACGCTCCTTCGTGTCCGGGGGTCGACGCTCCTTCGTGTCCAGAGGTCGACGCTCCCTCCAGTCCATCGTCTCCGCCGTCACCTGTCCAGTGGTCGACGCCGCCTCCAGTCCAGAAGTCAAGGACGTCTCCTCCGGCATCTCTGCCTCCGGTCACCGCCGGCCCTGCCCGCATCAGGCGCAGGCCCCCAAGAGTCCACCCTCGTCTCCTCCTCTGTCCCAGACGCAGGCCCCCGAGAGCCCGTCATCACCACCTCCTCCTCTGCCACAGACGCAGGCCCCCGAGAGCCCGTCGTCACCACCTCCTCTGCCACAGACGCAGGCCCCCAAGAGCCCGTCGTCACCGGCTCCTCCTCTGCCACAGACGCAGGCCCCCAAGAGCCCGTTGTCGTCGCCTCCTCTGCCCCAGGCGCAGGCCCCCGGACTCTACTGATCCCTGCCTCCTCTTCATCGGGCCCTCGGTTCCTCTCGGCCCTCCCTCCGGGTCCCCCTCCTCCCGCCCTGCTTTGTCTTCCTGTGGGCGTCTGGAATCTGCCCTTTTGGGGGGGGGGGTACGTCACAGCCTGTCCTGCCCCCCTTATGGTTTAGTCTTGTCTCTGTTAATTGCTCCCATATGCCTCTCATTTCCCAATCACCCAAGCTCCCAGCCCTCCTGTTTTTAAACCCCTTCAGTGTTGTGTCTCGTGTTGGATCATTGTTTCTGTGTCAGTGTGTTCAAGATTAAAACCTTTAACCTGTTCATGTCTGAAAGCCTACCTTCTGTACCCGCGTGTGGATCCTCATCTCTGCTTCACACTCCTGCGCGTCTGACACTGAACAAGATACTCATTTGGTCAAAGCTCTTTTATGGAACACTGACTAAGGAAAAATGCTGTAATTATTTGGTTTCTTTCAAAAGTGTGAATTAGAAACAAAGTAAACAAGTTTTGACCGTTGTGATTGTTTTTCTATTTGCTGCCTCAGGAAAATAAATAGCTTGTTTTAGAAGTATTAAACTGTTTAAGATGTGTATCAAACTCCAGCTTGTTGTTGCACGTACAATGGGAAAGCCCAGCCAGAAATTTCAATGAGCCTCTCTTCTTGCTTCATATCAGGGCTGACAGTTGAGCTGTAAACCTGACATCATCCTTCTGAACCGTCACATTACATCTCCTTTACACATTTGATAGGAGTTCCCCTGACTTTGGATGTCCAAAGTATTTTCTTGTGGTTTGTTCCTTGCAGCGATTGCTAGGTGGAGCTTGAGTGACAACATTCAGGAGTTACCCTGATTGTGACCAGGAGATGTCCTGCATATTTTTGGGAGCACGTTATTTCACAGAAGCTAAAAACTCTAATTTGGAGTCCAACATGATGTAAAAATCACACCAGTAGAAAAGTGAATCAGTGAAAATAGAACAAAGATTGAATAGTTTCAACAACTTCATTTGAGGATTATTTATCATTCATTTATTTATTACGTATTATTTATTCTAGCTGATAAAGTGAATGTCACAGCAGAATCTCTTCTACCCCAGCATAGATGCTACTTTCCACAAGGACAGATCTATAGTGGTGTATTTCACATTTGTTGCTGCTTATTTCATCCTGGAAGAAGGATTCGGAGGTCGCTAAACTCACACCCATTTTTTGTCTGTTCTCCATGGTTCAATGTCATCAATTTGGTGAGATGTGCGTTTGTAGTCCACTATATCTTTTCACACAAAATCTAAAATAACTTTTGCCCCCTGTCAAAAAGAAGTGGGTTCTTGGCATCGGCAGGTGTTTTTTTAATTTATAAATTCATAAATAAAGTTCTAAATTACTTAACTCCCATTCATTGTCTTTGACAGTTGGAGACCCATGGACCAGAGGGTGTGACTTAGGCTCCCTATATAAGTTTTATTTTTAAATTTCTAAAAAGAAAATATGGATAGTCAATAATACAAGTAATAGTTCTTTCTCTGTTTTTTTCCAGATTTTTTTTCTCTTTTGTTTTGTTTTTTCATTACCACTCAGACAGCATTTTGAAGATAAAATCTTTACTCACTAATGAGATAATACCCGTATACCATCAGTACAGTTTTTTAACAGTAAAAGCCCAGAAATGGTGACCCAGAAAGCTTGGTGTTTGCTTTGCTTTGTGCGTGCTGATTTTATCTTTCCTGTCCAGTGATGACAGTTCTCTTACATCACCATTCTTTCAGCAACGTTTGAATTGCCTGAAGGCCCATGATAAACTGCTAATAGACTGTCTGTTGTGGAAAAGAGCAATTTTACTTCATTTCATTCATCAATTTTGTCTACCTGGTCTCAGTGTGTGTGTGTGTGTGTGTGTGTGTGTGTGTGTGTGTGTGTGTGTGTGTGTGTGTGTGTGTGTGTGTGTGTGTGTGTGTGTGTGTGTGTGTTTAAGCTAGTTACATTAGAAAAAAAGTATTTAGAAAGATATTTCTTGTCAACCAAGATCAGTGTTTTTCTTCCTAAAGCTGAGCTCAATCTAGAAGGAAAATACAGTAAAACATTAAATAAGTGAATTAATTAATACATGAAAGCTTGACCTGATTGATTGGTAATATTATTGTTACTTGAATAAATTGTATTATTAAGCATAAAGAAGAAGAAGAAGAAGAAGAAGAAGAAGAAGAAGAAGAGGAGGAGAATGAACTGATCAATCACTTGAAGTTTAAACTGATTTTACTAATTTCTGCTCATTAGAGGGCGACAATGCACCAATAGTCACAAAACCAACGAAGAAGTCCAACTCTCAAGCCAATCCTAAACGCTACATGGGAGAAAGCTGTCAGTGAGTAAAAATACTTCAGCTGATCATCATCTGTTGATGTATTTTGATTATCGCTGATGAATGGACGAAACATACAGTTAAATCAAAATGTTTACCACACCTGATCGTTTTATTAAAGTCACCGAAACTAAATAAAAAATTGTTTCTTTTGGAAACCTATTGAAGCATTGTAGATCCGGGGAGGTTCCACAAACTCTGGGTCTATCAGTGAACTCCGAGTTAGCAGCACGACCGGGCTCAATGAATTCACTCAACTCTGAGTATGATCTCCACATCGAGTTAAGCCCGTGTAGGAGCGCGATAAAAGCGGTGATCAATGGATCACCAATACCTGAGCCCACCATGAACGCTTGCAGAAAAAGATCAAGTTATTTCACACCACTGGAGCAGGAGGTCCTCCTGCAGACCTATGAAGAATACGGCCATGTGTTCAGTAAAAAAAGTAACACAGCTGCAGCATCGAAAGAGAGAAAGGCTGCGTGGGAGAAAATAGCTGCCCGTGTTAACGCGTAAGAACAACTGATATATTTATCTGCATTTACAACTGTCGCATAAAAATTAAAAGAACCATTTTCATCTAGGTGCAACTCTTCAGGAGAGAAGAGGACTTGGATCCAGCTAAAAATGAAATACAAAAATTTAATTCAGAAAGGTGAGACTGATTTTCCCCCTTTATTACAGTAAATATTACGGTAACTTAGTCCTTTTTTTAATGTAAAAACTAATTCCCCCTTCTACATAATCATTTTACTAACTTTTTAAACTATTTCAGGTATTTTAGACAGGTTTGAGTCCCACTTTTATAAACTGAGTTGTTTTCAGCCAACAGAAAAAGGGCAGAGGTCCGTAAAACCAGTGGAGGACCTCTGATATCAGCATCTCAAATAGAGGCTGAGGAGCTGACCCAAAGCCAAAACTCTCCAAAAACAGAACCTGATGACATGTCTGAATGGAGTTCATCTGAGATGGTCACTTCCCAGGACACAAGTGCTTATATCGGAGGCAAGCATATACGCGCATACAAGTACACATGGTGTCTGATTTTAATCCTTTTTCTCCTCTTAATAGTTACAGATGGATTCATTCTTTCTGCAAAAGCAGAAGAGTTTGAGGTTGTAAGCACTTCATTCTGAGCTCTTGTCTCATTGGTTCAAAGTTTAATGAAAAGCATTTCCTGTTTCACTTCACAGGAGGAGGAGGAAGCACTGTTCACTGCCATGAGGAGCAATGCGGAGAGAAATGCTGAAGTACATGACATGTCGCCACGATCCCGTCTTTATTCATTCAGTCAAAAACAAACGAGCCAGGGCCGTGCAGAGACCTTTGACGGGGCGGGTGCTCAAAGTAAAAAAGGGGCTCTTATAGAGCAATCCAATAAATTAGGAAATTCAGATAATGAGACCCTTGGGTTCAAACAACATAATAAAAATATATAAATTAGTGTCATTAGTGTTAATGTTAGTTCATAAATAATAGTTTTAGTTTTCAAAGCTGACTTATATCTAGAGATGTTACAACCACATTTTTGCCCCTGATCCGAGTCCAAGTTGTTTGATTTTTGATTATCTTCCAATACTGAGTCCTGTTCTGATACCAGGTGGTGATGCAACGCATTATAAAAGAAGAAAGAAGTCGTCCTTCTGTCTGTATTTGTTATTTTGTTGTTTTAGCCTGAAAAGGTCACTCATTCAGGAAGTACATTTAACAGGAATCAAGATACTTTATTGCTATTGCACAGTTGTACAACCAAAGATATTTTGTGCTTACTAAAGACAGCTCTAGTAAGAGGTAGTAAAATAAATGTAAAATAAATGCAACCACAGAGACTTATCCAGTGTGATCTACGGCTATGTTAGCTGACATCTTTTTCCTGTCTGTAGAAAATTCTTGATCCCATTCCATGATCTTACTGAACTTAACACTAAACATGAGAGCTCTGCTACCAACCTAACAACAACACCCTTTACACAAAGGCACCATCATCACATACGTGGCAGGAGTCTCAGAAACTTAGAAGAATCTTCTCCAAACACAACATTCCGGTAAACTTTAACCCAACAACACCCTCAGACAGAACCTGGTCCATCCAGAAGACAAAACACCCAAACAGAAGCTCAGTGGGGTCGTTTATGCAGTCCAGTGTAGGAGCACTGTCCAGATGTTTACATTAGAGAAACTAAACAACAATTACACAAGAACATAACACAACACAGGAGAGCCGCCTCTTCAGGTCAAAACTCTGCAGTCCACCTTCACCTGAAGGACAAGGGACACACCTTTGAAGATGACAAAGTCCACATTCTGGACAGAGAAGATGGATGATTTGAGAGAGGAGTAAAAGAAGCTATCTATGTAAAAACGTGAACACCCCACTTTAAATAGGGGCGGGGCTTAGATTTCACCTTTCCAGTACCAATAATGCAGCTTTGGTCAAGGTCAAGGTCAATTTTACTTACAGAGCGCATTTACAGCAGCAAAGCTACACCAAAGCGCTGTACAAGGTAAAATAAATCAAGATACAACAAATCAACAATAAAAACCTAAAATAAGATGAGCACACAACAGTCACAATCTATGATAAAAACTGTTAAAAACTATTAAGTTGCTCAAGTCAACCTGCATTAAAAGCCAAATCAAAAAATGTGTCTTAAGAAGGGATTTAAAATGCTCTAGATTCTGTGTGGTCCTGATGTTGAGAGGTAGCTTGTTCCACAGTTTGGGCCCAACCACAGAGAACGCTCTGTCGCCGCGAGTCTTGTGGCGGGTTTTTGGAACTGTTAAAAAGAGCTTGAGAGCTGGACCTCATGGTTCTGGCAGGGACGTAAGCGGACAGCAGCTCAGAGATGTAAACTGGGTTCAGGCCATGAAGGGATTTAAACACAAAAAGTAAAATTTTGAAACTGATCCTGTAAGAGACAGGAAGCCAATGGAGAGAGGCCAGAACCGGGGTTATGTGATCCCACTTGCTGGTTCCAGCCAGCAAGCGAGCCGCTGCATTTTGGACCAGCTGAAGTCGGTGTGGGGAGGACTGGTCCAGGCCAGAATACAGGGAGTCGCAGTAGTCCAATCGGCAAGACACGAACAGGTGGATGACATGTTCGAGGACATTAGCAGGAAGGTATGGCTTCACCTTTGCTATCTGCCTTAAATGATAAAAACCTGATTGGACCACTGCACTCACCAGTCTGTAAAGATTAAAAGAACCGTCTAAAAACACACCAAGGTTTTTAACACAGGGTTTTAGAAAACCAGAACAAGGACCAAGAGGATCAACAGCGTTGTTTAAAAGATTAGAACTTTTTTTTAATCTCATTCAGTTTCAGTCTAGGTCACATCTTCCTGCATCTAATCAACACGATGACTCACCATCAATAGAGGCTAACGACTCATCAGGAGATGGAGAGGCGGGGTACTCAGAGTAGTTTCTGCTCTTTAAATAACAACAGACAGCTACAGCTTATGAGCTTGACTCTCCCATATTCCAGTTAGAACTGACAAAGCTCCTCAGAGGAGAAGTGAAACGTTTTAAAGAAACCAAAGAAGTCCAGTTGCCTTTATCTGAACTCTTTGGAGTAATAGTCAATAATAAAAAATACATAATAAAGTAATAAAACATATATAATTATGCTCACATTCACTTTTACCATCTCCTTGTGGGAGGTGGAACATTTATCACGGTTAACCCTCTTATGACCATAAATATAACAAGTATTTTTTTGTTTTGCTTTGTTTTATGGCTTTAACATTGTAATAAAAGTGTAAAATGTTTGTAACTCTGCTCCTTTTTTTCAGAACAACCTCAGCTTTCAGTGTCTAGTTTGTATTTGTGTTTATGTTTATTAAAGTCTGTAAAACTGCAGCTTAAATGAAAAAAAAAACAGATTTTCTTTACATTTATTACTAAACAGGAACTTCAAAATGACGAGCAAACTATGTCAAAAGAACTACCGATATTTAAACTCAGAATTGTGTTGCAAACACTCAGAAAACAGTGTGACCCCTGACCTCATGTTAACCAGTTTAATGACTGCAGCCTGTCTGTGACCACAGGTCTATGCTCTGGTCCAGAGAACGGGATACAGTAAGATAAATACTAGATAACACTCATAGGCTACTTCACAGCTGTAGCTGCATTTCTACCAGCATTATGAAGATCAATAAGCAGATAAAAGGTTAAATGTAAACATTTCATTACAAAAAGTCAACTAATAAAATTCTGCACTGATAAAATGATATTTTCAGCTAAATAAATATTTATTGTACGTATAAATAATGCTGGAATGAAGCTGAATCATTTAGTAAACAGTTGTGTGTTCAAATAAAAACCAGTGTGACTTTAATCTGTCCCTCCTCATGTCACCATCTACAGAAACAGCCTTCTGGGACACCTGACCAACCAGGTGGATTTTATTTGTGATGTTTCCATAACTTTATAAAAGTTGCTGATGAAGATGATCAGATCATCTCCTCCTTTCGGTTCTCTGCTCTCCCGTCGCGGTTCGCTCCATCTCTTTCTGTGACGCTGCAAAGCTGGTTTCCTTCTAATAGCGATTTTTGGAGTAACATGAATTACATCATGTAATACCCCGTTGGAAAGCTCGTTTTATGTACTTTTAGAAACCGTTTGAAGTATTTTTATTCGATTAGTAATTCAGAAGTTATGACCCGGAGAATCTAGAGTGAGACACATCCGTGATTCTTTGTGAGTTTCTTCAACACTTCAGGAGAAGTCTGTCTCATGTCTCATTTTCTGTCCCAGACATGCAGCTACCTGACTCTGCTCCACACACACTAACCACGGACTCAAACGCATGTAAACAAAAGCTCTGATATTAAAATCTATCCAGCTGACGTGAAGCAGGCAGAAAAAAAACTTACAGGTAGATGAACGCAGACTCCTGTCCGCAGGGAAAACACCGGTCTGTCGTCTCCATGGCTACAAGGTAGAGCAACAGCAAGGACAACCAATCACACGTTAGTATGATGCGGCAGAGCCAATCAGTGAGCTTGTAGGCGGGTCTAAGGGAAAATAGCCTTCAGCTTGAGGCGGCTGCCTCCACATGGTCCTAGTGCCCAATTTGTATCACAGTATAACAGTTTTGTATGGTAAAATCTGACGAACGACCGGAAAAAGGGCACTTTGGGCACTTCGGACAAAAGGGGCAGGGTCTCAAGCACCCTCCGCACCCCCCTCTGCACGTGCCTGAAACGAGCTGTTAATAATTGTTATTTTACAGAGCATGGCTGGCCAGCATCAGGACAGGGATGCATCAACCTCCACTGCACAGCTCGACACAGTGGGTTCTTCAATAACCATCATTTTAATTCTGCATGGGAATCTGTAGGATCTAAATGTCATATGTATGTTCTGCAGTTACCAGTGAAGGAGCTTTACAAGCAACATCTGAAGAAGAGCATTGAAAAAACAGTCATGGAGATTAAGTATTTGGACCGAAAATTGAAGAAAGTAGACCTGGAGATTCTGCTACTGGAGCGCCAGCTAAGGTGGGTTTTCATAGATCATAGGTGATAATTAGTGGAATAATTGTACAAATCTTAAATGTTGCTTTTTGTACTTGTAGGGAATGAAGAAGAACAAATAAATACAAAATAAACCAGTTTCACATTCATCAGAAGGTGAATGGACATAATGGACAAGTTTGATTGTCCTCTTCGTCAGACCAACAGCTTCTTCAGTCTGAGACTACTTCAGATTTGCTGCAACACAGACCTCCACAGAAGATCCTTCATGCACACACCTTTTTGCAATACCTCTGATGAAACAAAGTTAACGATTTTCTACGACTTCTAACTCTCTTTTGGGATTGATAAAGTACTTGTGAACTGAATGCTGAAGCCACACTTGGTTTCATACCTGCACACTCCCTTCGTGGTGTAAACAGAAGCACTAATCCGTTGTGATTTCTTTGGGGTGATGGTGGCACAGGAGTTAAGTGCTTGCCCTGTCATTGGAAGGTTGCAGGTTCGAGCCCCGCTCAGTGTGTCTCGGTCATTGTGTCCTTGGGCAAGACACTTAACCCCCTTGCCTGCTGGTGGTGGTCGGAGGGACCGGTGGCGCCTGTGCTCGGCAGCCTCACATCTGTCAGTGCACCCTAGGGCAGCTGTGGCTACATGTGAATGTGTGTGTGAATGGCTGATTGTGTTGTAAAGCGCCTTGGTGGGTTCCAGGACTCTAGAAGTCGCTATGTCAAATACAGGCCATTTACCATTTTACTTTTGTGAACACTTGTAAATAATCTCTAAGATACTTTTATAGAACAATTTGTCTGATTTTACAGAGTAAAACTTACCTATTGGTAAGCTTGTAAATTTTATTTCTGTACACTGAAACATCCAATCATGTCAAACTGTTCCATTATTTGATCACAAGAGGGAGCCGTTTGCCTTTGAGTAAAAGAAAGGGTCAGACGTCATACTTCATGATTGCTAATGTTTCGTTTTGTTTTTGGAGACTTCTTGTACTTTTTGAGTTTATTTCACAACAGAAAAATCTTTACAAATAACTGAGGAGGCAGAAATATTTATTTTTAACGTGTTTCAGACTAAACCATTTACTCAGATGTTGGAAAATGCAATTATAAGTACTACATTGAGCTGAATCAAACTGTGTATCTGTTTCCTCTGACGTCCTGTTGGGCATCATATTTATCTATATTTATTCCATTTCTCTCCAGGGGACTTGGAGTTTTGGTAACTGAAAAAGCATTTTTATTATATTTCTGATTTTTGTTCATTTGTGTGTGTGTGTGTGTGTGTGTGTGTGTGTGTGTGTGTGTGTTCCATTTTGGAATGTAAAAATACATTTTGATAGAAAATGTTTCTACACAAACTCTGATATTTTAAAAGCTTGTTTTATTTGAACTAAATTCCAGTACATTATTTGTACCCTAGAGTATTATGTTTTTTATTGTGTGCAAACTGTACATTTACCTAAAATACACCTTTTTCTATAGAAAAGGTGTATTTTAGCATTTAATATGTTGAAATTAGCACGTTTTAGTGTTAAAAAGGTTGACACGGTTTGTGTGTTAAAATGGGTTACACATTGAATGTGTTGGAATTAACAAAATGTGTCGTCCCTGAGCACACTCGGCATGTGTTAAAAAATGACACGTGTGCTGTTTTTGACACATCTGTTTTTGCAGTGTAGTAGTTTACCTTCCTCTCTGCTGTGTAGTTAGTTTATTTTAAGGTCAATATGTAAAAACAAGTCAAAAGCCTTTTTTACCCATCCAACCATGTTTGAAACTGAATAGTCCAATAATACTCTGCGCTCTAAGGATTAGCAGCTGTGATGGAATAAAATAGAATAGACTTTATCGATCCCACAGTGGGGTAAATTCATTTGTTACAGCAGCACCAACACTTAGAGAAAAGGAAGATGAAAAAGTAAGATTACAGGTAAACACACAAAGGCAATAATCTACTTTTGTAACCTTCAACCACTAAAAACAACAAATAAAAAGGAAACCTGTGTTTCCAGAACTATGCAGCATAAGGAACATATGTAATGTTGCTTTATATACTTTGATGTGTTTATAAGTGGTGGGAGCCCTCTGCTGCAGGTTTGATGTAATGCAGTTGACATTAACCTTTGACCTGTCTGTTGCAGGAAAGTTAGATATCTGGATTTCAATCCCAAATCTCTGAATTTGGTCCATATGGAGTCACACTCACATCTCAACATTGATATCTACATTTTACATTTCATTTGTTCATTTTGCATCAGAATGGCTTTAAATGTTCACTTTATGTTCAGTTTTGCTGTTTCCGTCTGTATTAAATGCCGCTTGTAACAGGATCCAAAGCTCAAACACTTAGCTTTGATGTTGAGTGCTTGAGGGCCCATTTAGTGACCTGGGCACTGTGGAGCGTGGAGTGTATTCAGATGTAATGTAATCAGTCACAAATAGAAGATATTAACAGATTGGTGCATTAATTTAAATCAGAGCTCTTAAATGGATCAGATGGTTTTGTTCAACGTCCCACAAAAAACCAGCAGAGAATAAAATATTAGTTATTTAAATCACTGGTCATAAATTTAATCCAGAACAACTGGATTCATCATTGCTTAGCACCAGGCCCATTCCAGGGCAGGAGGAGGAGAGACAGGGGGGTGGGGGGCATCGCCACTGTTTAATCTTCTTAAAAGGTGTATTTTGCGAGTTCCCAATAAGTCATTTTATTTGAGTACCATTAGGCGGTTGCGTTGTGCCCGTGTGTCTCTTTCTGTACCTGAATTATCTGACCACTCAGTGGAGGCAGTCATCAGTGAGTGACTCATCCCTGTCTCTTTTCTCCCTCTAATCCCCCCCACCCACCTCACACACACACATACACACCATCACCACCATCCCAAATATAACTTAAACCTCGCATGACGTCATCGGGCCTGTATGATTCAATCAGGAAGACCTCAAGGACAACCAATGTTAATTTCATAGACACAACAATGTACGCTGCTCTCTGATCAGCTGCCCCAAACTCTTTCAGTTCTCAGCCTGTGTGGTGAAAGCATCACATAAAGGTCCCACATAGGTGTTGTGGATTTATTTACTGCTGCTTGACACTGCCATGAGTTTCTGGAGTAAATAGTTTACTTAGTGGCAGATGTCTGCTTTAGCAGATGCACCAAATATTAAATTTACATGAAATTGTGCAACAGTGTTCAGGCAGAACATTAACTCTCAAATGCTGCAACTTCATTTGAACAAATTAAATTTAAAGGCACCGAGTTTATTTATTTATTTCTGTAACATTTTTGCCATATTGCTTGAAATTCTCTTCACATACCAATGGAAACAAATAAATTAAATGTAAAAAAAAATTAACATTTTAAACTTTGTCTCAAATGTACAAACCTGGAAAACCTCATCAAACCCAGCTATTTGATTGGCTCATAACCCATCCATGAAACTGCTCCTCTGAACCGCGCTGCACGAACACCCTCTATGTGCACGCGTACTCAGTGCAGCAGCCAAACAGGAAGCTAGCTGAGCTGCCAATGTCGCGAACAGAATGTCCCGTTTACAGTCTGGTTTGATTTAGGTTGGAAAATGTTGAAGCAATACTATGCTACTTTTTCATATTTTTAAATCGTTTTCTTCACCCAGAGTGTGCCAAAATGACATTTTACAGTGAAATGTCACTCAGACCTCTACCTGCCTCCGTGGCCAGAACATGCAACTTCAGTGTGACAGAGCCTGTTGGACTTGAAAAATATGAGCTGACTTACCTGGCGCTGCAGTCTACTTCCAGCACGATTCCTGCATGTTTTAGATCAAGAACACAGCAGATTTGTTTGATTTAGTGATGAACCGTTCCTGTAGACACCAAGGAAGGCTGGGGAGACGTTTCCGCAGTTACATTAAGGTGTTAAAAAGATGAACGCACATTAAAGAGATAAGTTTCATTTTCAGTTTGACCACAGATAATGACGGACACTGGAGGGTGCTAAAAGCAAGCATGAGAATGTGTGTGTGTGTGTGTGTGTGTGTGTGTGTGTGTGTGTGTGTGTGTGTGTGTGTGTGTGTGTGTGTGTGTGTGTGTGGTGGCTGTGAGCATGCAGAAAGGAGAGTTTGGTTTTAGTTCTGGAGGTTTTGTTAGCGGAGGGCATCCCCCAGGTTGTGATTCTGACGTTACAAATCAACCAAGAATGTTAAAAACAGCCTCATTGTTTACCGTTAAAAAGTCCACATGGGGGGGGGGTCTAGCTTGGAGTTGGTTCTGGAAATTTTTTGAGCGTGTGTGTGTCACAAACTGGTGTTGTACCATTTTCAACCATCAGAGTCGTGGCTCTAGGGGGAGCCTGAGAAAAGGGTAGGACCTTTGAATTATTATCTCTTTTTCAAAATGTAGCCTCCTTCCACTGTTTTTTGAAGGAATCCAGCATCTTTCATCTAATCTTCTCCTTTCCCTTACAAATATGGAGGTTGTTTAATCTCAGTTTCTGCCTTCTGTAAAGCTTTTCAATCTTCACTTCATTTAGCTTCAGCCCAGAATTGTTGCATAAACATTTAAGTTGATAGTAAGTGAGCTATACATTCATGACTTAAAAAACTTTTTTTTTTTGTTCAACTCAAGTTGGGAAGTAAATTAGCTACAATAATTTCCTCTTTAGAGCTGGAGTTAAATTTGTGTTGCAGCAGTTCAGGGGGACACGCTGTCTCAGTGTTATCTTCTCCTACTGTTCGTCTTTCCTGACCGTCTGCTTTTTCCTGATTTCAGTGGAAAAACATTCCTGCTTCTCAGTATGCATATGTGTGTTTGTGTGTTGTGTATCGGCGCGTCGGCATGATGGTACATGGAATCTGCCCTGTAAAGCACCACCAGCCAGCAGGAAGCACATTCCACTTTTTCCTGTTTGCAGTTCTCTCTCATTTCCTGACGAGTGTCTGATAACTTATAAAACCACTTAATCACCCATCTGCCCAAAACGCCTGGTGGCTGACTAAAATAAAAAGCCAGCGACTTCACACGAGTGTATTTTTAGCTTGTTTCTTTACCGAC